CACATTTTCTCCTTCTGAACTGTGTTTTTTTTCCCTGTTGCTCTCAACTGTCTTCCAGTGAATACAAGTACAAGAATATGATGTCATTCACTCCACACTGCTGGTGAATATGAGAGGAAATTTAAATAAGCAGCTACCCTCTTCTCCTTGGAGTCTTGGCACAGAAATAATTAGTGGAAATGGGTAACAGCAGAACTGGCACATATCTTCAGTTGTGAGAGCAACTACGCTCTCTAAATTTTTCAATAGCATTATTGCTCTAAGGTTTCCATCTTCTCAGCCAAAGATTCTCATTCAGAGGAAAATCCATTCCAAATACTGAAAATCCTTAGTTTATATTCTATTTGGCATAGCCAACTATCAACTGAATTGCACTTTCTCTGTGCAAGCACGCTAGCTGAACAAACCTTCTTCAAAGACTTCATATAAGCAACCGCCTTCTTCTTGTACTGCAGCATACACTCAGCTGAAAGAGGACTGATGAACTCCGTTCCTCCTTTGGGGCCATAGCTCAACGAAGCAGTGAAGTGATCCAAGTTGTTGCTAAAGAACGCGGCAATCTAGACACATCAAGAAAAGTCACTTTTTGAATTAAGTTGACCGGAAAGATTCATGAAAGCAATTACTCTTTCAAGAAAAAGACAAGCCTTTAGTGAAACTGGACTTCACAACAACAAATTCAAAAAAGCTACAGGCTCTTCCACATAACTTAGACCTTACTAAGGCAAAGCATAATTTTTACAGTATCCATTTTTATTACCCTTTCAGTTGTTCTTACCTCATAGCCTGAAAATACCTTAGAACAAACCTGATACTATAGATTATTAATAATCAGTGGCACACCTAGATTTTCCAAATCATTCAATCATTCAACTAAGTTCCGGTTTGGCCTTGGTTTTTTTTGTTTGTTTGGTTTGGGTTTTTTTGGTTTTTTGGTTTTTTTTTTTTTAAAAACCTGCACAAGCTAGGGCATTATATTGAAACAAAAACATCCATTACCTTGCCCACTCCATTTGTTAAAGCCACAACAGAGGATAAAATACAGTCATTTGTAGTTATGAGTTTTTGTGTGGCAGTTGGAACGTCTTGTTCTAAAGTAGCCTTTTGACTGTAGTGCTTGGAAATATCTAGAAAAAAACACATATTTATATCAGATGATGTTTTTTGTCTATTTAAGCAACCATTTTCAAATTCAACTTATGACTTCGGGCTTCAAATGCTCTTCCACTCTTTAAGCGAGTTGTATAGAAGTTTATTCTGGATATTCTTAGTTCTTCGGTATACTGCCTTAGACAAGCATTTGTGATCATAAGGAATAGACATTATGCCTGTTACACAAGGCAGAATAAAGGTGTATATTTAAGCATACTCTGTATCCCAAAAATCATAGCTATATAGCAGATCCAAGCTCACATTGAACTAGCATGTCATTCCACAAGTATACTTTCCATTTCCATACGTTAACATCAGGGCACTAAAGGCAGAATTTTTAGTCACGTTCAATATGCGAGCCTTAAGCTTACATGACGTAGAAGGGAAGAGTATTTTAATTCTGTCAGAGCAAATCTAAAAGACTACCAGAAATTTAGAATGCTACTTATATTCTAAAATCCTTTCAGGCAAAATCAACAGAACAGTTTTTGAGAGACAAAAACCCACAAAACTTCTTGAAAGTCATTCACAAAAACATCTTTGCTTAAATACACCAATTTATTTCCACAGCACCAAAATTTAAAAAACCTCAAGTACTTATCATGCAAGAACAAGCATTCCCAACTTGTCAAATAATTACTTATTTTTAATTAGGCCAAGTGAACACTTCGCACCTATTTTACAATAAAGTACTATTGCTACAAAATGGCAAAGTCCCAGGCCATCACCACCAGAAGTTATAATTTGAAGCAAGCTTAAGCAGTTGGAAATTAGTTTGGGTTGGGAGAGAAGGGAAGAGAGAAGTGGTAAATCAAGCATTCTGTAGTGTGGGAGCGTGAGGTGTTACACACTACATTTCTGCTGCTAGCTAATGAATTCTACTAACAGTTTTCTTCAGTACTTTGCTTCTATTTTCTTTATTTCTTCTGATAAAGCATAACTTGTGTTGGTTTTACATTATAGTAACTATATTAAGAGTACAAGGTGGTTATCAATAAGCTTATCTATGTTACAAAACTCATAGTCTAATTTTTTGTGGCACAATTTCTAATAGTATCTTTTTTTTTTTTAAACAGGGACACTGCAAAATGGAGCAATGCTATTGACATTACTAAAAAGACTAGAAGAAAAAATTATTTTGCTTGAAATTATAAAAGCATGTTAGTGTTTAAACAGCTGACTAGTATCAAAACAATTCATCTATATGGATCATTTTCTCCCTGAGAACAGCTATATGGTGCAGAGATTCTAGAAATATTAGTGTTTTAAAACACTGAGTTTTAACCAAACATTACTTCAGTGAAAACATAACATATCCATGTCCTTCCAATAAAAGGAAGGTAAGCCATTTTCAAGGAAGAAGTTAAGATTCAAAAGGAAACCAGACTGCTTTGTAAGCTTTGGTTATATATACACGTTAAAAATACTAATCAACCTAAAAACTTTAAGGAAAAATTCCACTTTCAGAGCAGATACTAGGTCATCACTACAGAAGTGGAGGAAAATATCTATAATGTAATGGCATTCCATTCTGTATGCTAGTTCCACTACAGCAATGAAGTTCAGCAACGAAAGCAAAGGAAGATCTAGAGGGCCACAATTAAATGTTGCAGAAATTTAGAACAAAGCTAACTGAATGGAGGACAGAAAAACATGCATGCAAGCCCAAAACAAGTAGTTAGCAGGTTTAGTTTCTTATCTTTGTTTGTAAAGGCAAAACAAACCAGATTCATCACATATTACATATTTAACATTGTTACAGACAGAATGCATGTGTGCTATGTTAATCAGAAAAAAAGCAGAGGTGAAACATAGCACTATTCCTGTCGTCTCACCTTTTAAAACATCATGAAATCCATGAAGACTTGTAGCAATGTTTGTAAACACCAAGTTGTAATTTGTCCTAAGAAGTCCTTCTGGTTTTGTACCTAAAAGTACCATATAGAAAGAAAAAAAAAATTTAAGATTAAACCATGAATGAAAAAAGTTAGTTTTGAAAAATCACCCAACTTCCACCTACTAGAAACATTTGCATGGGGTATGATCTTTAGAGCTAAAGAATCATAACATTCATTTACTTAAATTTCCCCTTCTGTTAATTTTTCTTTTATATATATATAAATATATATAAGAAATTAATTAATTTTTCTTTTTTTTATATATATATAAACGCACACACACACACCAAATTGTGCCAGAGTAGGCAGGTAAAAGACTTCCAAGTTTCCTGAATTTCATTCATATTTTACAACTATCAACTCTTTTGGTCTCAAAAAGCATTTATACATGCAGAAATATTTACATGTTCACTGTTGTAAGAACCACCATCTGGGTCCTTCTAAAGAGTGAAGACTAAAATAACCTGAAGCTACACAGTAACTATTTCCTCTTATTATTTACAGTATGCATTTGGATATAGTTTCCCCACACACATACACACAAAGGTTTTACCCTACTTTATTTAGTCATTACCATGAGAGTCATAGTTTAATAGAAAAGGAGGAGACAGAAGTGATAATAAACTACATTTTATTACTAATTAACAATTTTGTGACTAAGATAACAAAAAGACATACTGTCAATCATACCATAAAAACCTAGTCAGATCCTCCTCTACAGTTAACTATGACTATCTAAAATGTGGTACATGTGACTGCTTGGTAATTTCCAAGCCTGCACAATGCCCAAGACTATCCAGAAGGAAGAGTGTAGAGCATTAAACACTCCACAGCACAGTCTCCCAGCCTGGATCAAAGAGGGTCCAATACGACAGAGCACACTGCAGAACTCACTTGCCCCATAGTTTAGACTGTACCTAAAGAGTAACATTAAGAGGAAAACAAGTTTAGTAAGTTTATCACAGAAGTGGGATTTTTTTTTTTTTTTTTTGCATATGTTTTTTTTGGTGTGGTGAGGTTTGGGAGCATTTGGTTTATTTTGGGTTTTGGTGGGGTTTTTTGGTGTGATGGGGTTGGGGTTTTTTTGAGGGAGGTGGGTGGGGGGAGGGGTTGGTTTTGTTGGCTGTTTTTTGTTTTGTTGTTTTGGGGTTTTTTTTATTTAAACTGGTCCAAAAGGAAAATTCTACCTCCCAGTCACAATGTAACCAACAGAGCCAAAACTGGCACTTACTTGGTAATGCAAGAAGACTAACGTATGTATGTAGCTTCTCAAAGACTGCAGTCAACCTTTTCATGTCTCTGTGTAGCTCCATATTTCTAGCTCTTAAAGCAGCTGTGCAAAGAGAAGACTCACACTCTTCTTCCAAACTAGGAACATACGAATCATTTTTTTAAAAAGTGAGCAATTATCTTAAAAAACAAGTTCATGAGTTTTGGAGTAGATAACTAGTGTTCTCTACATCCCCAGTCCAAATCAACAATAGACGAGGAATTTATTTTAGAATGGTTAACATATCAGAGTAACTTAGCAATACATGAAAATTACTGTGTGCATGTACTATCCCCTCTCTTATGAGCTTCAGTCACAAGCCAGGAATGGTTTACACTCACGGCAAGGAATTGATTGCATCAGTTTAAAGACTTACTCCTCTACTACATACGGTTTACCTTTTGCTTCCTAAGGAGCAGGAGAACAGGTACAAAGAAGGCATAAAACAAACTTTCTCTTCTTCCTTAATCCAACCCCTCTTTTTGAGTAGTCCTTTGCTCTAATAATTCATGATTTTCACTGCAGAAGGGATGGGCGTCTGGCCAAGTTTTACTACATTGTTATATTTACTGCATGATAAATAATCTTCAGAAAGGCTCAAGAAATTAACAGTTTCAGTGTATCATACCTGAATAGTATCAATGCTATTGAATAACATCAAGAAACATTAAAAATCTGTGCAGCTTTAATGAAAGTTTCATCTGTCAGGGAGGAAAAAAGCTTTAAAATACATGTTTTTAGCTCTAAAGCCCAGCAGAAAAAAAACATGCATAACCTAGAGGCTCCTCAAAAACCAGCCGGCAAAAAAAAAAAAAAAAAAAAAAAAAGTTCTGCCTTTTAAGCCAGAGTGCTTTAAGGGTAGACTTAATATTTGAATTGTAGATGTTGACAATGCTGCATGCCTGACACTTATCACTCCTTTCATTTGATCTATCAAATCAAAAATACCTTTTTAACTGATAAGGAAGAATCTTTCTTAAAAAGCATAAGTAGGAAGCTAGATGTTCTGAGAAGGCCTTCATTTTCACAGTTGTTTCCTGGAAGGGGAAAAAAACCCATGTTATTTTTGCTCTGTAAAAAGTCTTTTTCAATACTAAATGTAAGAAATCTTACCAGGACTGTCACAGTATCTTCTGTAATACTCTCAAACAAGTGAAGCATTCCTTCCTCCAGAGGGCGAACATATGAAGCATTTTCATGAAGATACTGTGAGAACTGAGTACAGAGAGATTTTTAAAATGGTGCTTGCTGAAGGCTCGTGCAAACTGTTTCAAGTTAACAATTGAACAGTCCACTTTAGCAAAACACCTGTCATCTTAAATGATCCCCAGGACATCAATAATAAGATATAACAGCCAAGTGATGTAAAGCAACCTCTTCTACAGGGGACACAAACACACACCTTGAGGGAAAGTGAGAAATAGTGAAGAGTGCAATGGAAGCCCAGGCAAAACCTCATCTAGGGCTTTGCCACAGCACCCTATCTCATTTTAACTGCCATGCACAGCACACTAAACCCCTGCTTTTTAAGTTTAAACATTCTTGCATTCCTTGCCCAACTCCATCAAATTGAGGCTAAATCCATGCACTATTAAGCCACCAGAACAAACTATCCTACCTTCCTCCCAGCTGTTGTTTGCCTCTCAGCTCTTGTCCTGTGCATTAGCACAAACATTTGCACAGCTATGCTGTGCTGTGGGAAGTATTGAAAGACTAAACAGAGTTAAAACTGAGAGCAAGAGATACAGAAAAAGATTAAAATGTATCCAGTCCAGTTTTCAACATGGGTCAAAGTATGCTTGTGCCAATGCAAAGAATGGAGCGGTAACTAATCAAAGGAAGAATTCTTACTCTCAAGAACTGACAGGTTCTTTGGCCTCACGGAACTGCCTGACTCTTAAAAACTGCTTAAGTAAAATTTCTGGAAGATTAAATTAGCCATAGAAAAGTATCCCTAAGAACAAAGGCGTTTACTCTCATACACAACCAAAACTTAACAGTACTGTCAGCTTTCAATTTTGATATCACAGTATTACAAAAAGCTTTTTCCACAGATTGACATAGGTAGTCAAAAGTGATCTTGGTCTTTATTTTATCCCACAGAAAGATAACTTCACCTTTGATTATTTATACCACAACAGTAGCTAAAGATCCCAGGCAAATAGGGTATGAGAAATTTTAATTATTTCTTGTATTATTACAGTGCAGTAACACAGTGTTAACAAGAAAAAAAAAAAAAAAAAAAAAAAGAGATGCCAAGCTCTCATTCATGCATGCATGAATCTGGATGGAATTCGGGAAAATTCCTAAGTCTAAGGAGGAAGATACAACACATGCAGAATGCTCCTGACTTGTGTTGCAAGAGAGAGGACTGGAGTTATCCAGCACAATGCTGAAGACCCAGCAGAACCCAGCAATCCAATACTTAAAGAGAAAAGGAATACTTGAACCTGGAAGGGAACTGTCCACATCTACTTTGAGTGTTTGTTGGGGAAAATAGCTCGAAAGCGCCAGACAAGACCTGGAGTTGGGGAAAAATAAATCAGTGCAAGTGTGCTAAACCACTACCTGACACTTGTCTCATTTTCTCTACGACATTAAGGAGAGGGTTTTGAACCACTCAGTGGAGGAGCTAAGATCACACTGAGAACACTTGCCAAGCAAACAGATAAATTAATCAAAAATACAGGAGCAACAGCAGCTTCAGTGAGCGATAAATGATGCTTCACTGCTGGAAAGTCACAGCAACAGCCCTGAGAGGTAGCAGTGTGCTGAGGCAATTAGATCATGAATACACAATGGAGCAGTCTACAAGAGACAATTAGGAAAACAAACAAAGCCTGAACTACTGAATCAGTCAATTATCAGAAAAGGAGAATCAAATTGCAGTTCTGATTAAGTTGCATGTTTCAGCTGCGTGAAAGCACTTCTCTGCTGAAAAGCAAGAAAGAAACATTAACTAGGACATTAAGAAAAAAATGCCTGAGAAGTGGTGTCTTAAGAAACCTGATTTTTAGTCCCTCAGTGTAAACTGCAGTAGTGTCTGTAGAGTCCAATCACCACTCTGGGCCACATAATCAAGGAGAGACCATTCCTGTCCCCAAAAAGGTGGAAGATGACAAAGCCATGTAGTTTTCACAAGAAGGATATTCCATTTTGAGTAATTTTGGTGGCAGGAGCAAGAAAATGTCGTTCTCAAACTAAGATCTATGCTGAATCTCTGTAAAGTGTATTCTTGATTCAACTAGTTGAAACAACCGAGGAGGTGGAGCAGGATTTCTCTAGTGGATAAACACTTTCACAAGCGTATTTGTTGCTGGCAAAGTAGTCTTAAAAGAGGTCTTCCCAAGGACAGGAAAGTTTTGTGACAGCTAACATTGCCACTACATGCACTGCAGCCATTTGATGAGCCCTACAAAATACTAAATTGAAATTACAGTCTGAATCAGAAAATACTGTCATCTAGCAACTTAAAACGCACATAGGTCCACTTGCACTATGAAGTTAACAACTCTGACGTTAAAGCAGTTTTATTCCAAAGCATACATATATGCATCCCCATGCAAATCCTTGTGCAAAAAGTTCTTTTCCATGCTTCATGGCATAGAATGAGAAAGTCAAAAGATGCAGCTCAACAGCTCTCAATGATACTTTCAGAAAAGTCTTCCCATAGAATTGCACAGAAAGACAGATCAGGTTTCTCTTAATTTCAACATGCTTTACAGCCTCGAAGCTTCAGAACACTTACAAGAAAGGTCTTCGCACAAATAGCCCAAAATCAGATTATAAAGTTTTTTTACAAGGGAATAAAGTCCAACTTCTCTCCTTCATAAGCCTAACTTGCATCCAGTTTATTCCACATTACAGTTAAACACTTTACACTTTAAACACAAGACTTTCTGTCTCAACATCTCCCATGCTCCAGTGCATTAACTAAGACAAACATCTATTTAGCAGTGCCATATTTGTGTATTCTAAAATAAGTCAGCTGAACTTTTGACAAATGCACTTTAACTTAGCACTTAAAAAGCAAAGCCTTGATTTGACTACTATATTGCTCTTGCAGCAGAGGCACAGGGAAAAGGGATTCTCTGCAGCTACACCTTCGCCCATTCAGAGAATTCGCCCAATAGAAAAGAATTCTCATGCAGGAGAGGCTGCCCCTCAGAAACACTCATAGCATTCCAGTAAAGGTAGTAAAAGTTTGCACAACTAAGATTATTCACTCATGAAAGCCTACATAATTGAATATACTTGTGGCTGATATCTGTAAGCATTACCTTCTGATTTAATGGTGATATAGTATCTGTTGCAGAATCAATGGGAAAGATCTGTACCTTCTGCTCAGTGTATGTATGGAAGTTCAAAAGAGCAGTTACAAGTTCCTGAACAAAAGCCAGTGCCTGGCCAGCAAGGTCTCGCAACTTCAGCTGTAAAGACAGTTTTAAAATTATTAGATTTGACATGTACCTATTTAAATATGAAAAATAAATCTATGGTTGGGCACACAAAAAATGCAATTGACGATTTCTTTCTTGTTACTAGTTCAGCCTAAAATATACAGCAGCAATTATCTTTAACTCAATTTTTAAAGTTTATTCATAAACTAGAATGCCAGACAGAAGGGCATGTTTTTCTACAATGAAGTACATTTTTATTTTATACAAGAGGTGATGCTTTACCTCTGCTGCATTTCTCAAGCTACAGACCACAAGAATGCTTAGAGGTTAGTACAATTACAGAAACCATCTTTGAAATTAAGATTTCTAAAGACCAATAGACTAATTGTTGACAACAGCTCAATTCTTCCAGTGTGGTGATAGTGAGAAATTTGTAACACCTGGTTGTAAGGAAATAAACTTTAATTAGTAAAAACCAATGAGGTTTTCTCCCAGAATAACAGGTGCCTGCTTCTCTGACCAGTAACACTCAATTCTGGTTTTCCCACCCGGCCAAAACTGAGCTGCTGCTCATGAATAAGGCTGTTCTGTGTCTTTAGTGCAATAGGAAATTATCCAAGAAATTAATCCAAGACGGAACATTCTAAAAAAGCAAAGGCAACAGAGGAGAAAACCAAACTCTTGCAATTTATGGAGGAGAGAATATGGTTAAAGTGACATTTCAGCAAAGAATGACTTATCCTTCAGAGATGTATTGCTAATGCTTCAATGAAGCGTTAAATCAAGTGAATCTTGATTATGGATCAGGGATGGTGGTGAGTAATTAATGCAATCGTTATACTCAGTTTGTGTATGCTAATTGGCTATGCAATGAAGGAAAACAGACAATATTACTGTTTTGCTGTCCTTTACACTGAGCTAATACACTAGCATTTTGCCTCCACTTGCAAAGCCAGTCATAAAAATCTGTTCTGGAACATTTTCAAGACTGCAGATCTTGAAGCATGAGGCTGGCAGATACAGTGCTAGCAGAAAATAGGAAAGTGAGAACTCTCCACATAGTTATTCAGATTTCTCTTAGAACTCAGCAACAGGTTGATTTAAGACTACTTCCATCACAAAACTGGACAGCAGGTCACTTGTTCTCACAGCAGACATATTAAGAACACGGTCTCTTATAGGCACTTCTGAAGAAAGGAGAAAGCAGCTATTTCAAATCTTTCTACAGTGTCATCTGAATGAATTAACTTGAAGGTTCAAGACGTATCATGCAAGCAAAGAGGAAAAAAAAACGAGTGGTGTGGAGCCCATCAGTATCTGATTTACTACTGTAAAAAGCCTTAATATATTTAGCTATTCACAGAAAACTAATGCTCATTTTTGAATACCAAGTAAACCACATTCTCAAGGAAATTGCAGAAGTTACAGCAATGAACAGAAACTGTTTCTTTTAAAATAACATCTAAATTAATAAGGGCAGTTTGGCTGCAAGTAAGAGGTGTTTTGACAAGAAGCATCCTATAAAATTTAAATGAACCATGCAGAGTTCTCAAAAACACATGATTTATTCCTTAAGAGGATTATGGGTAGTGACAAGTAATATTAACTAATATGGTATTCTAGTGTACACACCAATGTATAGTTTACAAATACAAACATTCTTTGGGGCTTACGTGATATGACGATAAGTCATATCAAGTGATAAGCTTGAGGGAAAAGGAATTTAAGATACCAAAATTATGTTTTTCAATAAAAAGCTTAATACCTCTAAACTAATGTAGTTTTAACCAACTTTAAAAATGAAATGTTCAAGTTCCAATTTACTGCAGGCTGGCATAATAAAAGAATATTTAGTAGAACTTTAATAAGAGATAAATGTTAAAACTTTTTGCCACTCTTTTTAGAAAGGCATGCCTGAGTTAATACCTATTGTGATCATCAGCCAGTAGTCAATGCATTAGCTCTAGTGAAGTGAGATGAGCAGGCACCTTGACTCCTCGACATAAGAACAGTATAGACTACCTTTTGAAATGCACAGAGGCTCTGTGGGCAGAAACTCCCTTGGACTCTCATGATAGTAGTAAGGTAAGTTATCTTCTGCCATTTCAGGTCACTGAAATGGCTGGTTTTATTCCGCATCTGTGTAGAAAGTTGCATCTTTACATATGAAGGCACAGGAAGTGCTTACCTGGTATCTTCTGTTGTGTATCGGTACATTCAGAGCATTGTATCGATTAGATCCTACAGGACAAAAATTGAGTTATATGCACTTATTAAATCCTGGGTTTAAGACAGTTATTCGTAAATAGTGATTATTTTTAAATCTAAAATTTCATTGCAGTAATATTACAGTTCATGTAAGTAATATTAACTAAAAGATACAAACAATTGGCTTCAATAAAGTAGCCTAAACTTTCTTAAGAACAGTTACTGTGACTAGGTGGAGAGAAAGCAATTCTATACTTGCCTCAGACTGGAAGTCAAATTTAACCATCTGAACACCCTGAATTTGATAGGCAAGAGCAGAATCCTCTTGCCCAAAAGAAGAGTATTCATCACAAACAAGAGTGAAAAAATCTTTTCCAGGGATGGTCAAATAAGATGAACGTGTTTTTTTAATGGTTTGCACGTTTAAAAAAGCTCCTATGTACTTGATTCATTGATGATTTAGAATAGTATGTACTCTCCATATATTTCAGCATTCTGTTCCAGTTACAGAGCAACTAGAATGATTATTCAATTACAAGTGGGTAGAATTTCTAAAGAGGTAGAAGGATATTTGTACCTAGAGAACAGCTTGCAAAGTCTTATAGATTTAAAAGGGATCACATCCATCCTCAATTAAATGGAATAATAACCACTTTAGTTTAAAATTTGCACACAAAGGAAATGTACAGCTTCTTATTCCTTTTGTATCATCTGCATTTGGCAAATAACACACGGGAAGAGGTAGCTGTATTCAGAACAAAAACCTCTGTGCAAAATTACCAAACCCTACTTGTAAATGCTTCAGAAAACTTTATCTTTCTGCTCTCAAAATCATGCTTAGCAGTCAACAAGTCATTTGATTGCTACTGAAACTGAAGCCAGCTTCTAGTTACACTTAAAACCAACTACAGAGCCTACAGCAACAGTTGGAATCCATAGCAGACAGACATTTCCTGACTTGCTCTCATTCTTCTATCACTAAAGATCTGTCCACTATTTGCAGTGTTTTCTGCAAAAACATTATGCTATGGCAGCTGAGTGAGCAGATAAACAAGTTCTTTGCAAAGTTCTCACTAGTGATAGCCATCTGTAAAAAAAAAAAATCCACTAAAGCAAGAGAAGTAGAAATAGACAGCAGATGCCAGGCAAAGTGATAAGAAAGTGAAAAGGGGGTATCAGCTCAAGGCATCTACACCTAAGCATTACACGCTGTATGAGAGTCAGCATTTCCTGAAGAGAAGATCATCTGGTGTTTCTAAGCCAACACTCACTGGATTGCCAACCCAGTGAAGAATTTGGAAGGTTCACCCATGAAGCATCCCACCAGATAAGCTTTTAGAGAACCTAGGCCCAATTCAAAAGATTGTCATCAAGTTTTAAACTGAACAAAAAAATGCAAAAGCTACCAATAAAACCTACCTGAAATTCAACAGCCTGTTTTCACTTCTCTGCTCCTTCTCCCTACTTTCAGCTTTTTCACTATTCCAGGTCCTACTAGTCTCACTGCCAGAAGAGTACAGACTGTGGCCCGCTAAAGTACAACCTTGTGTCCAAGACATTTACAAAAGCACCCAGCACTGATCTGGCATGTACTAACCGATTCTTGTACCAAAGCAACGCCAAGGCTGAGCACTCCTAACTTTATGGTATCCTCTGCACTTCAGTTTACCTAGTAGTAGTTGAAAAGGAAGCAGGAAAAAAAAAGGTTGCTTCAGGTAGAAGTCCCTGAATTCAAAGGGTTTTTTTCCCTGAAAAGATTAGTGAGTCTGAGACAAACTACAGATAAGAACTAGCCTCAGTGTTCTCTGATCAGACATGAGACACATTGACAGACTTCCCACTAAGTGTAGACCATTACTGATGCAATGCCTCACCAAGTCAACATCTCTGCAGCCACTAGTTTATCCCCATCTTAACTTACTGTAACTCTTGAATATATGTTGCCCAAAATAATATTCTCAGATGAGTAACTAAAGAAATCTTCATGAAGAAATCAGTAAACTGATAGTGTTCCTTCATCTTTTACAATATTCTGTCAACACTATGCAAGAGAAGTGGTAAATACTCAAAAGCCTTCAAAAGTTTTAATTTTCATTTTATATATATATAAAAAACCCGGTATTTTAAGATTACTAAACATGATGAGTATTATGAATACTTAATACAATTACCTCCAAGTGTCTGTTCAGAAGTCCAACATTTCCAACAGCCAATATATTTTAATTTATAATGAGTAATTCCTCCAGATGGATACCCAAAATTAAACAAGAAACCCAGACCAAGGTGATACGTACTTGTGTCATTAAAAGGTACTTTTTCATTGATTATGCATAGAGATTCTTCCAGTCTACTGCCCAAAGCTGCTTGAAGATTCTTTAACTGTTGCTGGCTAAATAACAAAAAGACAAATGAAACACACTATAAGCCTTTAAATTTAGTCTGTATCACCAACACCATAGCTCACCATAAGCATCCCTTGAGCATACAGGTATCTGTCCCTTTCTAGAAGTTAGATAGAAATAAGATGGTAGTAATAATTTTTCTTCCTTTATGTCATATTTAATACATGACATTGCATTTTAATCCCTAACAAATGCAGTGAAAGGTGCAACAAGTTGTAAATCCTAAGTTCTATTCTTGAGAAGCTCAACTTATTTCAGAGTTAATCTTTACATTATTTTCCAATTCTGCAATTATTGTATAAGCTATATGAAGGTATTGTTTCCTACCAGAATTTGAATAGGAATGCAAAAGGGCCTTTAAATTATTTATTATATATCTGATGCAGTATTCTAATATGCAAAGAGTGAGTTGTTGATAATTCAGTTAACTATGTCACATCACTATTAGAAACACCTCACAAGTTTTTCAAAGCCCTGTATTTAAACACTGCTATGATACAGCCCATTCCCACAAGACTAGGCAATCATGTTTCTCATGCATTCTCAAGTGATTTTTCCTCTAGATCTGCTTCACTTGCATTTGATCGTGGGTATAGATGTGAACCTAAGTTATTGAGATTAGTAGCATCATTAGTATAGATTCTTGAGATGAACAGTAACATATTCCAGCATTATATACATATGTCAACAAAGATTACTGCATATCGGTTCAGACCAAATTCCACACCTTACCCAACTTAGGCCCCCAAATTCTTCATTGTTTTGCTTCTCGTTTGACATCTAGAACTCCTGTACATATAGTGGAGGATGGGGGGAAGGTGTAAAAGTGACAGTTTTTTCCTTTTTTACAAAAACATTTGATATGTGGAAATTTACCAGGACTAACAAGGAAAAAAAATCCAAAATAGACAAGCAAGACATGAAGAAACTGACCAATAAGTAGCTCATGCACATCAACAAATATATTTCTTTAAAAGCAGCTCCAAAATTGCATAGAAACTGTATAGCACGAACCACAGTAGCATTGGGCATGATAGAAAATAAGCTCAAAGACAAACTGCAAAAGTATGGTTGTTTCCTTTTTGTACTTTAAAGGAACGGCAAACAAGTAGTTTGACATGTTTTGTTTTACATTCTGCCCTTTAATTTTCAAGGCATAGAGGCTGTCGAGTCTTGTATCATCTGGCTTTCCTGAATAAAGTGTGGGTGTCAGAGGCAAATGGATCCCTTCCCCTGAAAGAGCAGGGAAAACAGAAGAGCAGTACACTCAAAGACATCTTCTGTCATGTGTTCATCAGGTACCAATTTCAGTGTTTAAAGTAAAGAAGTGTCAGGCTTTATTATTTTTAAAAAGTCTCCCTTCTTAAATGGTAGGGACAATTTCTTACAATGACATTAATTACCCAGTCATCGTAGGATATGACAGACAAGCTCTGAACTGAATAGTAGCAGATTAAGACTACACTGTTTTTCAAACACCACAAAAAAAAACCCCAAAAAGCAGAAAAACACAGTTTTCATCCTCTTTTGCAAGTCATTCTCAGTGAAACCCTGACTTGTATTACATGAGAACTATTGGAATTCAAGTACCTTCACATCTATCAAAAGAATTAAAATACATTACTTCAAGGTTACCATTTGAAAGAAGGAACTCTTCATCTGATCACTATGCATTTTATCCATTACGAGACCTATACTACACACATATCTTTAAAAAACGCACCTTAATAATAAACTTCAAAGAAATGCACCCTAATTTGACTTGACCCACAGTCTTCAAGTTCTTCCCATTTTCTACAACTCGTCTTGAAGACAATGAGGGTACTCCAAAACTAGCAATACAATCCTTCAACAAAAACTTTAAAATATTCCAGCCGAGCATGTTATACCTGACCCACAAGCGATTGTTCAAGAAGCTTTTGGGGTAGAAGGGGATTTTTGAAACTTTTTTCAGGTTGTCTCAACATATCGTACCCACTCTGTTTTTAGAAGCAGTTTGTAAAAACTCACATATTTTTGTTTCATACAAGTTCAGTAGTTTCTTTGCTTTTTATAGCATTCCATTACAAATAAATTCTTTGAGCTTGCATCAACTTCACAGCTACTTAAAACAGCTTGGCGACAAAACTGCTTTTACTGAAAGTTGAATCTGTGGAATTGATTCTCTAGTTACATACTCAGTAGAAGGAACAGGGGTCTGACCCACACAGTCTTGATGTTCATGTGCTGTTGACAGTATTTTATTAAATTCTTTATTTTCTTTTTTAAGGTATTATTATTTAAAAATAATCCAGTTCGTCTTTTACAGAAGTTATTTCTTTAAATCAATTTTTCATTATATTAAATAAAAACACTTACCATTCTTCGGTTCGAAGCCTACAGTCCTTTGCTTCTCTTTCTAGTGTCTGAGACTTGATCTTTATGCAAGAAGATAATCTCACAATGTAAGTACTGACACAGCAAGACATTTAATTTCAAAACTTCTCAAACTTGCAAGAAAGAGGAAAACCCCTTACTTCTAATTTGGCTTTATCATTCTGCAGCTTTTCTATAGTATCCGTGTATTTCTTTGTTAAACTGTCCACCACAGCTTGATGCTGGGCAGCATCAGTTTCCAAAACTTCAAGTCTAGTTCTCAGCTCCGCTTCTAAACGTTTGTGCTGCTCATCTGCTTCAAAGAACTGAAAGAAGGAAAGCAGAGTTCATACGAAAGCTTCATTTTACTATGGAATCTAGTCCTATGAGTTACACCAGTTCAGTTAGCCAGTCCAGGTTAATAACAAGTACTAGTTCTCATATAAATAAAAGGTTTACGATGATATTTACAGAGAGAAGATTCAGGAATAAAGTACTTTGTGTTTACTGAATTTTTGTAGTAGTACCAAGCATTCCTTAAATGTATTGCCAATTAATAGTAGCCACCTGAAAAATGAAGCTTGAGCCATAAGGTTTCTTCTCAAGTTTCCTAACCAAAGTGAAATGCATTCCATTTCGGCAAAGTAATTCCTGACTTAGTTATGGCAACTTGCAGGAAATATTTTAAGCTTTAAGGCAATTCTGAAACAGTGAACTAAAAAAGTTTCCACTCACTATCAACTATATGGCTATTTTCAGTAGAGCAGCTAAGTGACACCAAAAGTTAAAAAAAAAAAAATCTAAGTGAGAAAACACGTATTACGTGAGTTGTTCCACATGCTGTCTTAAGAATCTGAAGTCAAAATACTTTCTCATTTGCCCAGTGAACATCTTTATAAACAAGCTATCTGATCTAACCTATTGTTTTGCATACAATTAAGCTTCTAAACCCCCTAGTTTTCAGAAGGCATTTTATTTTCTCCATCTTCATTTGTGTGACTAGTTTTCTGAACTAAAAGGAAAGGCTAAAAAAAAAAGTTTCACTCACAAGTATATGTAGTCGTTCATTCTCTTCTATCTTCTTCTGAAGATCTTCACTGAAGACACTTTTCTGCTCTTGACTCAACTGAGATGAGGATTCTGCACTTTTCTAAAAGAAAGAAAATGCATTCTCCAAGTCTCTGGGTGTATCCCAAAGCCCATCCCCAAGTATATGAAAACACTTCCCATCACCAACTCCCAGTAGAGGCACATGAGCTTAGATCCTACCTTGACTAATATATCAAGAGGTATGTATATTGTGCACAGCATGAGCCCAAAAGCAGCACTTCTTCCTTCACACCCTTGTTACTGTATAGTGGTAGAATGCTATTTTGATAAGGACTCAGGAAAGCCTCTACTGGGCCATCATATTCACACACACATGAAATTGCCTGTATCAGCAGGTGCCCATTTGACATCATTTGAATCTTAGAAGATTCCAGCAGTCAGTAATTCGAAACCCTATGCACACAGGCTTATTTGGTTTAGTAGCTGTGTGTAAGGCATGCCTGCCCCCACTAAGAGTCCAGGTGTAAGCTGGTCTGGTCTCAGCAAGGACCAGGAATAGTCACTGGAAGCATACCATCCCATGACAAGCTGTAGCACAAGATGGCCCTGGAAAACACAGGGTTTTCACTGTCCACCAACTACCCTGACAATACAGGCATCTCTCTGCCAGCTGTCTCCTCATTTTTCACCCATTTCGTCCAACTCAGAGACCACCAATGAACCCCACACTGCTTTTCTGCTCTAGCACACTGCCAACAAAGGTAATACCATCACCAAACAAAAGGGAGACTGTTTACATTTAAACTGAACACTGAAATTCAAGTGCTTGGGACAGCTAAACCACCTCTGCATTTGATGTAAGCCTATGAGCTACAACACCCGAGATACAGGTATATGTTCTCCTCCTTCTAGAAGGATTGCAGTCTGACACAGATAGTGTACCAGAATCTTAAAATAGTTTTAGATGTGATTTACATGGTCTCCCAATGGCAAGTCTCTGAAGTAAGGGTGGCATGAAATTTAGCAGGGGTGTATTCAATACAATGTATGTACTCAGTGAGGCCTTACAGGTAAAACTAAAGGGAACATAAGAGACAGTAAAAACACTTCTTAAAAAAATACAAAACGTGCATTCTGACAGCTGAACAGGGAAGAAAGTCAGTGGTGATGGTTTGCAAAGCTACTCAAACCAGGCTGAGGTCCTTCGAAATTTGGAAACTTATCTAGTGAGATAAGTTACAATAAAATGAAAGAAAACCAGAAGGGTCAAACTGCATTTTGAAGAACAATCTACTATGGTGCGTGAATAATTTTAAGTCAGAGGTACTATGCTTGTCAAGGAACTGAATAGCAAAAAAATGCACAAGAGTTTAAGCAAAAAGTAAGGAAGCTAATCATATTACTAATCAGTTGAATGATTTCTTTAATGTCAGTCTTGATGGCTACAGCATTTTGGCAGCTAAACAAAATGAAGAGATGACAGTAATTAATAGGGGTTTCCTCATAAGAGGAAGGTAGCAAAGGATGCTTGAGAATTACTTAAGTTCAGACACACCACCCTTGGAATTCTGATGTTACTTACAGAAGGCAGGGCTGATCTTAGATAGAACATGGTATAACCCGGTTTAATCACCAAGCGTTTTGGCAATGAAAGATTGCAGTACTGAAAATATTCTGTCCTTTTGAAATAACATAGTGAATACTAGCTAAAAATTTAGATTTCAAAGCATTTGACAAGATTCACATAAGGGCTGACTAGAAAAGCTATAATCATAGGCTGAAGAGTTAGCCATCAACATCAAAATTACAAAGTAAGGAGGTGGGGATAGGAAATGAGGGATGATCAATTTTCTTCATAGTCGTAGATTAATCACAGAGCTCCAAGATATTTCCCAGCTGTTTGAACACTTAATAAACAACTGGAAAATGAGATAGCAATTCAGTATCAGTTAGCTGATGCACTAGAAAGAAGAGTACAGGACTACTTAGCATATATAATAGGTATCAATACCCATTTTGCAGGTATTTTCATTAACAACAACTAATAACACAAATTCTGACAAAAACATTCAGCTCAGCCCTTGACACAAAGCAACTACTGCTAGAAATCAGGAGGAGCAGACATCTGCTAAGCAATTTTTTTTGTCTTTAGCACATACCTTGTTCTTCTTGCCCCTAGCTTCACTTAATGCAAGTTCATCTTGAAGTAACTCCACCCGCTTGGCAAGTTGCTGATTTCGAAAGGTCAAGCTGTCCATTTCCTGTTGCAGTTTTCTCAGTGATTGATCCTTCATCTTCAGTTGCTCCTAAATGACCAGTAAGTTTAATTTTAAAAACTTCACACATGTTTTTATTAAGAAGTATCACATTAAAATAAGAACACATTAAAAAATTGCTTTCTTCACTATTTGAACATCGAAGAGGCAAAAAGTATTGCTTTTAAACTAAAACTCAGATTTCACTGCCTTGATCCCACAGATCGCACTCAAGTAGGTACTTCACCCTGTAAGTTAATCACCAAGAAGCAACCTTTTACTTTTACAAAGACAGCACCTACAGAGAAGAACAAAGACTAGTTGCAGAACAGAAATTCTTTTACTAAACCAAGTTCTTTGTTTATTCTTTTAATCACAATACTTAGCGTAAAAAGTATTCCCATTTACCCATTTTGTCACAGCTTAATACATCTGACACGAGCCATTTTTAGAGATTACCTTCAGAGAAGCAGAGTTTGCTTGCTCATCTACAACACCCTTTTTCAGTACTTGGTTCTGAGCTCGAAGCTGAAAAATAAGATATGCCAGTAACTATACAGGACAAAGGAATAAATAAAGGCCATTCATTAGAATGTGCATGAAGCATCACGTTATCTCATGAGAGCAACAGATGTGCATGCTTTTTAAAGTATTCAGTTCAGGTAAACAGTAGTGGTGTCAGGTTGAAAGAAGTATCCAATTCATATCTCAAATTGCCAAGAAACATGAAGTTACTTTACCATCTGAATATTTTGGTCAAATAGAACATAATTCTTACTCAATAAATATCTTTGAAGATTATTTAAATACAGTTAAGGTTTGAAGAACATTGAACAAATATGGAAAAGCTGCAACTTCTTCCTTGACTAATCAAGTTCTTGTTCATATTCAGTGCTATTTTTGCCTCTCCCCTTTTTTCCCCCAAAACTGGGGGGGGAAAAAACCAGTGCTATTTTTGCCTCTCCCCTTTTTTCCCCCCCAAAACTGTTCATGACTGGTTCTGCAACATAAGCAGGGCTCGAAATAAAGTCAAAATCTGTATCAATTCAAGAAGAGCTTAACTATACTCTAAAGCAAAAATACTTATTACCAGTATCAGCAGATGATCCAGAGAGAACAGCTTGACAAACACTTCAGGAAAACGCATAAAAAGCATAGAATAAAAAGCCCTCTAAGACTTACTTATATAGTTCACAAATCTGAGCTAAAATCACCGCAGTGAAAAGCGATACTCAAGAAATCTATTTCCCAGTCACCTCACAGAGTACCTCTACCCTGCAGCAATGAGGATACCGACAGTTCCATCTTCCCATTCCTTGAATCCTGGTTTCTTCAATGGCAGTTTGTATTCATTTGACATGTTTGAGTCCAGCTGTTGCAGATATAAATTAAAAGTGTTTGTATAGTGTTTGGGAGTACCTCTGGCAGATGCATAAAAGGCAAGATTCAATGTAAAACAGCAATGGCTGATCTTTTCAGTCTGATGACAGAATATATTTGAAAGGTCAAAAGTCAGTTGACATTGCTGAGCACAGGCTTTTGCCCTGAAGTATTCCCACTGTGCTGCTCAGGCATCACAAAGGCAAGAGAAGAAACTTGCAAGAGCACCACACAAAGACTTCCAAGCACAGGGTTTCCCTAGCAAGAAAAAGCAGTGCAGTAGTTTTCTAGACCATTTTTTCTGCCACATCTACCAATGCAGGAACACATCAGGTGCAGCAAATGAACTAGCTCAATCGTGCTGCACTGAGATACTCAAGCTGAAGTGTGATCCACCAAAGGCTGTCACTCTTTGACTACCACTTGCATCAAGGTTGTGAGAGAGCAAGCCAGAAGCTGCAACTCGAGGGGAAGAGACTCTGAAAGCACACATCTCCTTCTGGACTGCTCTGCAAACTGAGAGGGAAACCAATCCTTTGGCAGGTACTTCCCTTGGCACTCTTCGAGTCTATCCAGCTCTTGTCTACCTCTCTCCTTGGCTTCCACAACACGATTAAGTGAACAGGCAAATAGCTTCACAGGGCTACTCTCTGTTTCCACCTGCACACAATAAACAGCCAATTGAACAACAGATCATTTGCACAAAGAGGAGAGTTATCTGCAAAGGGGATCCCACAATGCTGTGCAGTTGCTGCACAAGAAGTGGGACAAGACCAAAAAATAGTTCCCACAAAGAACCAGTGAAACATCACAGGCTGGAAGTTGCAAGATGAAGTTCAAAGAAAGCTTTTGGACACCATGATACTAAAAGAAAGAGGATCCAGCAGCTGGAACTTTCAGAAGCTATAGTCAGAAGTCCACATTTCAAAGTTTCCTTTGGGACTCAAGTAGTAGAGTGCCTCAATTACCTTATCCTGAGCCATTTTTAATCTCCACGGTACAGCAGAGCCACTGTAGAAAGCAACAAGAAATATGAACTCTGTGACCTACAAAACTCTGAAATGAATTCAGTTTTCTTAAAGTGATTTTGTGGAAGCATTAAAAAACGTAAGTAAGTATCTGAACAATTAAGATTCTTTACAGGTTGGGCTTTTTTTTAATAGCACTTCCAAGAAAAATAGTACTTAAAGACACATCATTCTGTAATCTAGGGAAAGGTGTCAAATACAGCCAAGTGCCTTGTACCAAACACTGATGCTGGGCTACACAAAAATAAAGTGCTGGCTTTCTTTCCCAAGGCCATTGAAGAACTATGCCATTCAAGACCACGGTCTCCTCTTCCTTTTAGTGAAGAAACAAGAACGAAGAGTTCTGTATCAAGCAAGGCTCCACCATTTAACAAATCACCTCAGGCACCTTGGAAAGGAAAGGTGTTCTCTGCTATGGGCCAGAAGTCTTTGCAAATACTCTCTTAAGCAGCACCAGAAACGGGAAGCAAAGTCACCTAGGGCAGCTGCAGAAGAATGGGACCAGACATGAGGCAAGTGTGAAATCAGGTGTCCTCCCTTCCAAGACACCGCAACACCACTACAAACACTGCTAACACCACTGAACTCCAACACCCACCCGGCAAAGCAAACTCGGGAGTCTATGGGTAAGATGCAAGACCAAGATCTCAACAAATGTTCACACCCAAAAAGATAACCAAGCCTCATGCCTGACTGGGAAGCAGAGAAGCAAGGGAAAGAACTGCTAGTTTCACTTCCCTGGAGTAGCTTTATTATTTATCCTACTGGATGCTTCGCAGAAGAGGACACTCTCCTCCTCCCACTGGCTTGCCCGGCTGGCACCCGGGAATACTGTATTCCATCGGCACCGGCAAGAGCCGGCACCTCCCCTACCTGCCTAAGTTCGCCTTCACCTCACCCTCAAGAAGAGGCAGCCCTTAGGCCCCAAACAGTTCACGCGCCATAAAAATCAGCGTTTCAATCCTGACCAGCCCCCCCACTCCGGCGGGAGCA